TGTTCTTGCTGCTAAAAGCTCACAGAAATAGGTATAGCTTCATCTGTTTTGTAAAGACAGGTGTTTTATACTTTGACTATGGCTACTCATAAAGCTCTAAAAGTGGTCTGATGTTAAGCTTGGGGGAAGTATATAGTGTTTTACAGGGAAAAGGGAGTCATCTTGATGCTTAATGTAATGTTAGTTAACAGCTTATGGACTGAACAAAAGTGGGAGCTGCTCGTTTAAGAGCTACTCTGTTCAGGTTTTCTAGGTATTCTGCCTGTGGTGCTATTGTCAGCACAGCTGGATTTGTTTGCTTTCAAGCAAATGCTGAGCAAATACACAGGAAAGTCTGCTTTTGTTACTGAGTTATGAATTAGAAGGTTGCTGTTTGATTTCACTCAGAGAAGCCTGATGGGATTCTGCTTTGTGAGCTGCTGTTGAGTCCTTTTAAATGGTTTGACATGGACACAAGCGCGCATTTGAATCAGATGTTGATATTATTGTGTGTCATATGAAATTCCTGTGTTTGAGGTTTTTTTCTCCATTTACAGAAACTTAAAATGTTTGAAAGACCCCAAGTGACTGCTATTTCATGCCAGAAGAGAGCAACTATGTTTTCATGAGATGCAGATCTAGCTTGTCCCTAACCTTCAGTTAAAGGAGACTTCAGAATGTCATTAGTTAATTTTAATATTTTAAATAGTATACAAAATTTTCCTATGCTGCACATTAATTACATTTTATACTTTCTTGGTGAATGCAGTGAACAGTTGATGAGCTTCTCTATTAATATAATTGGATAACTATGTTTTAATGAGAGTATTTTCAGCTGTTTTCTCTCCTTTTTCCCCCTGTGGTTCATGCCCTGCCAAATGTAGGGAAGGAGAGTTTGACTTGGTTTCTGTGTTCGTGTGTGATACTCCTGTGCATTCCAAATTACATGACCATTTCTTTGTCCTTTTTGTAATAAGCTACTGAAAAGTAATGCAGTCTCTGGTAAAAGATATTTTCAGCAGTGTTCAAATGCGGAATTTCTCAGTTCTTTAGTGGAAGAGGACTTAAAAATGGATTCTGTAAGATTATTTTTCTCCCTGTTGTGCTGCCTGTTGCATTATGAACTGGCAGCTCTACAATCCTGAATTGTAGAGCTGCGCATGTGCAAATGTTTATACAGTTTTTTGAGTGGTAAACTTCTAAAGCATTTGCCTTTTTTTTTTTTTTCCAAGGGGCTTAAATGGAACTGCCAAATTTTTAAATGCATTTTGCAATGGTCAGGAGCACTCTCAAACTTGATACTTGTAAATTAGGAAGCAGGTCGTTAGAGATGTAGTACATCATGG